TGTTGTGACCTGCAAATATGACCTAAGAAAAAACCAGAACAGGACACCTATAGGGTCCCACCTACCTAGCCATGCTCTGCATCTCCCAGGCAGCTGCCAAGTGTATTCCCAGAGCATCCCTCCATGAAACAGCTTTGGCAAATATGATAGCAGGGTGCAAAATCCACTGTGGTTATGGCTACTTAGAAGATAGACTTTCATGCCAGCGTAGATGCAATCATTAGAAGAAAGGACCTTTGTATGACATGGCCAATATCTTCCTCTGAGCCAGTGCTCTTGCTTCCTTGGATTATTCCTGACTCCTTGATGCAGATATTTTGTTTTCCAAAGACAGGAGGGAAAATAGACCTTCTACAACACATCTCTTTGTCAGGAGAGCTTCCTCATCAGTACAGAACAGACATCATTTCTTTCATACTTTTGTGGAGTCTCTGCTACACAGAGGAGAAGGAGGATGGCAGCCAGCCACGTTCTTGCCCTCTCTGGCCATGCTGTCACACTCAGGCTATGGATCCTTTCATCTTTGCTGCTGGTTCATGGGAACGAACTCCCCATCAGTTCTGTGTGGGGCTCTGCCTGCCTTTGGAGGCTGCGCCACATGTCCTGTGCAAGTAGGGTGGGAGCCCTTGCATTGCTTACCAAAGGGAATCAGGGTCAAGAGGGGACTAATGCTCACAGTACCTCTGAGACCCAGGGAGGAAGTTTCTATACCAACAGCTCATTCAATCAAAGTGCAATCATTTAATCAATGTTTTTCTACATGTTTTCTGACAGTCATTTTTCATTTTTCAATGGAGTCAATGAGATGACGAAAGGATAATGTACTTTCTCTAAATGCTGCCTTTATTACTATGTTTGATAAATTGTCATTATTTAAATTAACCTGGAATGCCTGAAGGGGAGGATTTACAAACTCTCCAAGTTTGCCATGAAACCACTGCCAAATGCTTCTTTGAGTTGCTTCTAAACTCAGTTTGTCAGATTTTCATTGCTCATCCTGTTGGTCAGGCAGACAGAGGCATGTTTTTCCAGTCTTGCTTTCTACTAATACCATTTTCCCTCCGTGTGAGTAGTGATTGCAACTGAAGGCTATTAAACCTCATTTAATTCAAACGTAATGCGGTTCTCAAACGGTCCCACTGGGGAAGCAGGTTCGGCAACAAGTCGCTGTCCTGGAGGGAGCCCAGGAACCATCCAGTGACTACTCCTGGTTTGTGACGTTAGATTTTAAGCCAGTTTCCTAAATTCCTTCTATGTTTTCATCTAAGAGTCCCTGCTGCTGCCTCTGCTTAATTACCTTTCTGTAAGGTGCACTACAATAGGCTTGTTCCTGCACTTTGATACCAAAGCTCCATTTATCAGGTCACCAGGGAAGAGATGGATGCTGTGACAGTCCCCAGGACTCCTGGACTGCTCAGTAGCATAGAGGGGAGGAAGATCAGAAGGGTGATACTCAGGGACTGGATCAAAAGGCAAAGAGCAGATGCCAAAGGTGGTGGGATGGCCCCACCAACATCTGTACCCCACACACCCAAGGTCCTGCCAAACGGTCCTCCTGACAGATGTCCCAGCTGAGACGTGGGAGCAAACACAATTGCACCACCCTCCTTTCCCATTGAAGGCACAGCATGGTGATTTCTCTCTCCACACACCTATCAACACCCACTGGCAGAGGACAACTCCCTCTGTCACCCCGAATGCCAGTTTTGGGGGTTTGGTTCTGCAGTTACATCAGCAGTGAGGCAGAGCCATGCCAAGAGTCATTCCCCTATCAGGAATTAAGAAACAGGCTGTGATATGCCATGGTTGGACAGGTATTTCTTGGAAATGAAAGATGCGCTGACTGCTGCACTTGATGGATTTCCAGCACAAGGCAGCATCTGGACCAGCTCCCCTGTGTGGACTGGAGGGTAGTGGAGAGGCAACAGCAGTTTTCCTAGCCTTTTCTCTCTGTCCCACCAGCCCACTCCTTCAGCCCCACATCCCACTGCTGTGGCTGCTGCTGGCTGCTGGGCTGTCCTCTGGCACCCTGCTCCCAGGTGACAGGGCAGAAACAACAGTCAGTGTGAGAGTTTGGGAGCACTGTGCCCAGCCTCATCCCACTGCCAGCCCCATTGCTGCAGGCCATGGCCAGCTGCCTCACCAACCCAGCCACCTCTAGGTGCCCCAGCTGCTCTCCATGGCTGCCAGGAGTGTTTCAGAGACTTTCTGCTGACTAGATGCTGAATTTGGCAGAGGTGGCATTCAGGAAGCAGCCAGCAGGTTAATCCTCCTAATAATTTGTAGCATGCAGGACGGAGCAGAGTACTGAGATAGAAAGTGTCAGTGCTGTGGGTTTCTATAGCATTGAAATTTCATCATTGTTTTGATATTTGCATATCAATTACCCAGGAAAGGAGGGAAGGAGGAAGGGCAGAGGTTATGTGGGAGCTAAGAAAACAGTGACAGCAATAATCCAGCAAGCACAGGTCTTACTGCAAAAAATTACGCTGAGTGCCTACCAACACTTTTCTTTCTTTAGCAAGTCCTCCCCAGCTCTTTCTGTCTTTTGCTTTGCTTTTTTTTGCCTGAATCCCCTATAAATGGAGCACGGGCAGATTAGCTGGTTTCCCTTCATTCCTGCTTGTCCAAAATGGATGGTAAGAAGAGAGGGAAAAAAAGGGGGAGAAAAACCCTCAAAATGCCTGGAGCCATGGCTTGTGGATAAAAAAACAGCTGCACATGAAAAACAATTGATGTGGGTTTTGAGCTACTATGGCTTAGAGAACGAAACACTAACTCACCCCTTAATATAGCAAAACCTTTAAGAAGTATTACTGAAAATTAGGCTCGGGGTTGGGTTTTTTAGCAGTGGACGTAGAGAGTTTAATGCACTTGGATCCAGCCCTCTGCACTGCTAGGCAAGCCCCTGCGGCACTGGGCTTGGGACTGAAGTTTCTTCCTAAAACAAATCCCTGTCAGAAGGCATTTTGGCAATAGTAGTCAGAGAAGTGTTACAGCTATTGGACACCTGAAACAGTCTTAACCCTCTCTTCCCTCCCATGAATCCCAAGAGAGGACTGTAAGTAGAAGCGATACCTTATTTCATGGCCAGGTAATGAACCCTTGGTGGAGGACAGGTGTCCCTTCAACTGATGTGGGGAGACCCATTCAGACACTAAAATAACCAATGCTATAAACAAAGAGAGAAGGATTCAGACTTTTACCAGACTACACAGTGAACAGATTTGTCTGTGATTAGTGAAGGGATTTAGCATTATTGCCCTGTGCAGAAGTCTACCCAAGCGACTGTGATGGTCTCAGTTTTGCCCTCACATAAATTTGAACTGCAGTGAGTAACTCCAGGGTTTCTTCTTCCTCTCTTTTTCAGGTTTCTGACTGACCTTTTGCATTTTTTTCTGTGGCGGGCAGACACAGAGTGCTTTCCATCCACATTACAGACTTCTGAAGAGCAGTGCTATCATTGCCATAATCCTTCTGTGATTTGACTTCCAGTTACATTAAATCCATGAAAGTGCTCCCATTCTTGTATGCACACTGGTCCAGCACGTAAAATACTTGGTTGTCACTGTACTCAGGTATGGGGCAAAGTAAGGCCACTTTGGCTCCCCTGTTTTCTCCAGTTGTCTGTAGGGTGATGTCACGTATCATAACTCAGCTTTGACAGGAACTTGCAGGTCACTGAGCACTAGAACAGATTGTCTCCTGCGCTGGAGATATTCAAGAACTGTCTGATGCAATCTTGTGCAATATGCTCTAGGATGACGCTGCTTGAGCAGGGAGGTTGGACCAGATGACCTACTGTGGTCCCTTCCAACCTTACCCTTTCTGTGACTCTGTGAAATATGGAGCTTTAATCTGTAATGGTTGCTCTAGAATTTCTTTTGGTTTATTTTCATACAGAAAACTTCGGAATCAAGCTGTTTCAAGGTCTGATGAGTCAGTGAAAAGTTTTCATTGTTTAATGGATGACAGTTGGAAGAGTTTCAGTGATTTGCAAAAAAGTGGAAAAGTACAAGACTTAACAACATGTTTTAATAGAAAGGATTAAAGATGTGGTACCAAAACAGTCAAGAGGAAGATGACTTCAGACTCCATCCAAAATCCACTGATCAGATGTCAACTTCCATTGACTTCAGTGGGCTTTCAATCAAAACCATATTTTTAATTGAAACAAACAACTTTCTATTCCTTTCTACAAAGCTCTTTTAACATGTTTAAATGTGTATATGGTATATCAACCTCTGTTCATGGCTAGAGGAGTGGACCATCTTCTGAAAACTGCAGCAGCCACCAGATCTGGATCAAATATTTTCTGAAGACAAAAAGACTGCTAATCCAGTAGATCCTTCATAGAAACAGTAGCATCACTACTTCCCACACAGTAGATCAAAGAATGAGTACTACTGCTGAGCAGTGTGTGAGATACATCCAGTTCTGCCCACCTGAAAGGGCCCTCAATGGAAAATAAATAACAAACTGAAAATAAGCATCTCTAAAGCTAAAGTATGTAGGTAATTGATTAGTGGAATTGCTGCCCTGCAGTTATGTGGCTCGGCAGAGACTGCTCAGATCCAGCCCTCATCTTCCCACTGAAGTGTGATGCTCCACTGGGATATCACCTCTGTTCCTTGCACAGAACTGAGTGGGCCATGCCCAATTTGTGGAGAAGAAGTGAATGCACTGGCAGGTGCACATGTGATGCCACCTAAAATAGTCAGGCATGTCTGAGGGACTGTGTTGGCCCCAAGGGCCCCCTGTTAAACTGTAACAGGAGTTCTGCATACCTACACGGATGGCAATAGAAAAAATGGTGATCTTTGAACAAGCCTCTAGTTAAAAAGTAAGTTTGATCTTTTGAATTTTTGAGATTTTTTTATGACAGAAGTCTAAACCAGATGGCTCTGACTGGGTGCTAGGTGAGGTATTCCCCTTGTGATCTGCTTCTAAAATTAGCTTCATACATTGACTTGAAAATGTTACTCCCAGTTCATCCTTACCCTTGGCAGAAGGCTTGCGGGAAGAGATTCAGAGAGGATCCTCTCTCTTCACACGATTCAGGGGCCAGGATTTCACTCTGATAGATAAGGCTGAAAGGCTTCTGCTGCATCTCCCCAAGAACAGCATCACACCCTCTTGCCAACGCAGGTCTTTCCTTCAGGTTACCTACTCAGCATCTCTGAGGAGGCAGAGGCCATCCTCCCAGGCCTTCCATCCCTACTAATTTCCTTGAAACTTTCTGTGACATGTATATTCAGGGAACATCATCACTCTTTAAAGACTTCTTAAGTGTAATTGAGAAATGCAGACACTAGACAGGTGATCTCCACATTTCTGGGCCTTTCCATCTACCTGGCTACCTACAACCGTATTGCAGGAATCATAGAATCATAGAATACTTGGGTTGGAAGGGATGAATTTCATCTAGTTTCAACCCCCCTGCTGTGGGTAGGGACACCTTCCACAAGCCCAGATTGTTCTAGGGATGGGGCTTCTACAGCTTCTCTGGGCCACTCTGTTCCAGTGCCTCACCACCCTCACAGTGAAGGGTGATAATGAACTATTGAATGACAGCTGTAAACATCTCTTGCTCTTCTTTAACCAGTAGTACAGTATGAACCCAAAAGCTTATGATCCTGAGGAAAGTTTGGGGAGAGGAGAACACTCGCCTCCTCGTAACTATGTGATTTTTCTACTCTTACCTCATGAGGTAACACTGACAAAGAAAATAAAACTGTGCTGAAACACCTCTGCGCACTTCCTACCCTCTGCTGAACTCCCACCAGCCCTGCAAAGCAGTAGACAGCAACACCTGCCCTGGGAAGATGCCCTCAGTTTGTGGCCATGCACAGGTCCACAGGGGGTATTCACCGAGCCACTGGTTTGGGTACGTTCACAGCTGCATGTTTGAGCAGGTCCCATGGGGCCACCAAGAGCCAGGAAGGAGGTGTCACAAGGATATGAACTGCCCATGGCCAGAGTTGCAGACTGTGTAGCCTCCAACAAATAAAACAAATTCATCTAGGAAGAGCAGAGTTGCTAGGCAGGAAAGTGCAACTCAGTTATCTGGCTTGTGAGGACTGAGGCATGCAAGACAGGCAGCCCCTCAAAGGAGTGGGCTTATGCTACCAAGCTTTTAAATGTTTGGATATCAAGTTGACTTTTGGATGTCCTACATGAGGTTATCTGGAAATTGTCTCTCCACTTTTCTATGGAATTAATCTGTTTCAGCAATATCAGGTCTCCTACCTCTGACAATGCTATATGTCCTTACCACATACTCTTTCTCCTATCCCTGCAATTGCATACCCACCATGTAGCCTTTCCCCTCTCATTTCTCCTCACTGGCCACTGCTCTTCCATTTTCCAACTCAAGTCCAAGCCTGGTTACACTCTTCCTCTCCAGCTAATGATACCATTGTTCATCTGCCTCAATATTTTGTTCTGCAGTTTTTCAGTCCAGATCATCTCCTTTCCTCCCGCCTCAGGAATTTCTCCTGAGCCATCCTCTGCCCCCATCATCCCTTTCATCTCCTTTCAAGAAAATTACTTCTCCTGCTCATGGACCTCAACCTGCCCTATGCTCCTGATGCCAAATGGGTTGACACACCAGTGTGAGCTCTTGCTCAGGTCCACCCAGACTTATTATCCTACAGCAGACTTACCACTTGGCACTGTTGACATAGGAGGAACTACAAGTTATGAATTAAAATGGAGATTAATTCCCCACCTGTGGCTTGCCCTTTTCCTTTCCCAGCCCTGCATAATGTGACTGCTGCAACCTGTCTGTAACACCACAAACCCCTGTATGATTCAGTGGCAACACATTACTGTTTTGAAAGATGCAAGACAGAAACCCTTCAGAACACCGTTTTCCTCCATGGCCACCACTGTCAGGAGGCTCAGAAATGTGGGAGCAGCCTTCCCTGAAACAGGCAGGCTGCAGGACAAGCCCCTGAGTAGCTCACAAGCAGCCATGGGGGCTCAACAGGTGCCTGGAGGCTAGAAGTCCCTGTCTAGACGCTCTCACCTGGAGGGCAGAGAAAATGACAGCGGCAACATGAGCAAAATGCTTCTCTGTGGTATGTAACTCAGCACTGAAAAATTAGAAAGATGACAACGATCAGCCTACCTGTACCTTTTAAGGTAAAAACATAGAGATAACACCGCTGTGTGAGTCAGATGTTTGACTGCTATCAGTAGATTATGGACTAATTACCTTTCAGGGAGCATTTTGGTGATGATATAACCACAGCAGCACTTTTGAAATGCATTAGAGAAGGCAGCATGGTAGTCTTAAGACACTGTCATGCTGCTCTTTAAAACAGAATTGTTCTTAAGTTGTCCAAGTTCAAAGTGCAGAGAAAGACATAAGCAACATTTTGCAGCGCTTGCAAGACACCTCCCAGGTTAGATTTTAGGTAAGTAAAAAATGTGACTACTCAGAAGAGCTCCACCCTAATGGCCCTCTGCTGAGACCTAAAAATGGTATGGAGGCAAAAAGATGATGTAGTTGCATCCTTTCCTATTTTCAGTGCTTAAAACTGCTGCGTGGTATGATGACCAGTGCTATTGAACCCATTGGACCACATGGGGCTTTTTGGCCCTAAAATGTGTGAACTAAGCCACAGATTTCCAGCTCCCAGGAAAGAAGGGAAAACCTCTTATGGTGGCATGGCTCCATCGGTGAGTTACCAGAAAAGAACCAATAAAACAAGAAATGTCTTCAAAGTTGTGAGCGATCCGGGGTTAGCTGCCGTCACTTAAGTCGCTCCTTTAAAACCGAGCCGGGACGGAGGAAGGCTGCGTTTCACGGTTTTACTTCAGCCTCTCCGCCCCGACAGCACGCCCGGGCTCGGAGCCCAGCGCCTGCGGGCGTTGGCGCAGGACAACCCCCTCCCCGGGCGCGATCTCTGTCTCTCCGGGGACCAGCCCGCCCCGCCTCAAGCTGCCGCGACAGAGCCCTCGGGGCTGCGGAACGGGGTGTGCGTGGGTGTGTGCGGGGTGGCCCTCCGCTGCAAGTACCGCCTGCCTGCGCGCACCGGCAACAGGCCCCGCGGCGGGCGGCCCCGGCGGCGGGGGCGGGAGGGCAGAGCGGCGCGGGGCGGGGCGCGGCGCGGGCGCTGCGGGCGGCCGCGGGCGCGCGGGGCGGTGCGCGTTGCGCGGCGGGCGGCGGGGCCGCGCGGGCGCTGATGCCGCGCGGGGCCGGTCGCGCCGCGGGCGGCGGGGCGCGCAGGCGGGGCGGCCGCGGGCGCTCGGCCATGGGGCGCGGGATGTTGGCTGCCGCTGCCGTCGCTTGCTGCTGCTGCTGCTGCTGCTGCTGCTGCGGGCGCCGCCGCCGCTGCAGGTGGGTCGCGACCGGCCGCGCTCGGCGTTCTCCGTCCTCCGCGGGCGTGCGAGGCAGATACGGGCCGTGTGTGCGTATGTGTGTGCGCGCTGTGCGCGCCCGTGTGCGCGAGTGGACACGGGCGTGCGCACGGCTGTGTTCGCCCGTGTCCGTGCACACGCACACACGCGTGCACATACGCAGGTGTTGCGCGCACAGGCCTGTGCCGCGCCCGCGTCCGCACATTGCGGTGCGTCTCGGCGCGCCGCGTGCGCGGGTGTGTGTGGAAAGGCAGGGGCCGGGATGCGCATCCCACCCCGCATCCCGCGCCGCAGACAAAGAGCGGTCCGGCCGCGGCGCATCGCGCTGTGCGGGGCCGCCCCTGCTCGAGAGCCTCCGCGGGGCGGCGAGGCCGGTGGGCTCGGACGAGCCCTGAGTTCAGGGGATTGCCCCGGGAGGGGGCCCGTCTGCGGAAGCGATGCGGGTGGGCAGCGGCGAGGCGCTGCGGGTTCCGCAGGCGCTTTGGGCGGCGGTGCCCCGAGCCGTCGGGGTGCGGAGGGCGGCGGGCAGGGCGGGGAGGGTTTTCAAAGCCTCTTCCCGTAGCGTAAACACTTCGCGTTCAGAGCTGCCCGCAGCGGGGTCCCGCCGCCCCGCAGCAGACACTCGGGCATAAACAGTTTGCATAACGCTTCCTCGGCCGGTTGCAAGCTGAGTGCCAATTTCCTTCTTTAAAAAGAAGAAAAAACCCAGATGGGAAACAAACATTTAATCAGGCACAAGATATAAACGAAACATCACAAGCCATGTGTTGCTAAAATGCTTAAGCAGGAAGCATATGATTTTCCATGGATGTTTTACAGGTGAGTCATGGTATTCACTGCATGCTCTTACTCATTAGTGAAGATCCCGGTCCGATGGCATGTACAGTACATAGAATTGGATGATTTAAGTGGGCAGATGCATTAAGTGCAAGTAGGGAAAAGCACCTTTCCTAGCACTGTGGCAGAGTAGGGTTCCAGCATGGAACTCTCAATGCTCTGGATTTATCCTTTTACTGAGTTCCTGTGGCAGCCAGCGTTACACTAGAAAGCTGTCACTTTTCATAACATGCGGTGCTCTGCATCGGTCATGCAATTCTTTTCTAATTCAAGTGAAAACAAACACACTTTCAAAGGGGGTTTCCTTTCCTCCCTTTCATCCCCTGGGACCCACGTCTATGTGCCAGCAGCATTTCTCAAATCCTGCTGAAGCCAAGGTCCCTTGCCCCAAATTTGACCCTGGGTGAGGAAGGGACCTTCTATGCCTGGCCTAAGGACAACTGCAGTCAGTGACCATGCATGACCAGGGCTGTAGCACAGCCGGAGCTTGGAGCAGTTAAATACTCTCAGCTCCCAGAGTCTCACATGGGATTTGGTAGCCAACTCCTCCTGGCCGGGCTCAGGCAGAGCCTTGTCCCTGCCCTGGGGACAGCTACACCAGCCCTGCCAGGAACAGCAGTCACGGAAACGTCCCATTGACCAGGTCCTCCTCCACTGCATCCCCAGGGGCAGCAGTCAGTGTGCAGAAAACAATAATCTCTACCTGTCCCACGGTACCAACTGAGAACCCTGCTCTTTTTCTGCCGCTTCCCAAGTCTCTTTGCAATCCCACAACTGAGGGAACCACAGTAAATGTTCATCTGTTTGTTTAGCGGCTAACTGCACTGTGTTACACGTAGCCAAAGAATCCAGGAAAGCAGCCAAAGATATAAATTAGGCCAACTACTGGCTAGCCTAACTGATAAT